TTGTTTTGAAGCCACCCTAGACCTGAAGAAGCTGTTAATACAGCGTGAGATGAGGCAGTGAAGCTGAAGTGCCTCACGGCATATAAACAACTAGAGATGAGCTTCATCTGGGACCTGCTGGACAAGCAGCAGAACCTAGGGTGGAGCAGAATTAGCCATGTACAATGGCTGCCCAGGGGACAGATGGTAGGCTTGGTGGCACAGCCACCCAAGTTCATCACCTGACTACTGCATGAAGAGCCAGTGTCCTTGTTATGGCTGAGTGAGAAGCATTTTACATAGCTAAAGGGCATTGCTCCAAGACCAGCCTGACGTGGGATGAGACGAGYGTGTACTCATGATTACAGCCAGGTGTCCTCATTGGACTGGTGACTAAGGCCTGGTGGTTAGGTAGGGATGAGCAAATCTTGGGGTGTATAAATAACAGGCCTGGTATAATGTCCAAACTGCATTCATTATCACTCTACTTCAAACCCAAACCTGCTATTTCTGAGCTTTCTAATTCAATAATGGTAGCACCATGAACTCCTTGACTTGAGCCAGAAACTTCAGAGTTGTTCTTGAATTTTCTGTCCCCCCCCCATGTTTAACTGTCAAGTGCAGTTGGTTAGGCCTCCGCAATGTCTCTGCACTCTGAACCCTACTTTCCATCTTTTTCCCATAGGACTGTTCCAGGTTGTCTTCTTCTCTAGCTTGGATATTATAATAGTCTCCAAATGGGCCCCCTACTTTTTTGTCCTGTCTACTTCCAAAATGTGTACCTTCCTGAGGCCAGTATGATCTTTCTGAAGCTCGAATCTAATCAAGTTATACCCTGCCAACAATTTTTCAAAAGAAAGGCATTGCTCTCAGGGTAAAGCCTAAATGCAAGGCTCCTGATGCTCTGGTTCTCCCTTTTAGGCTCTTGTCTGGCTGATTTTAATGCAGGCTGCAATTCAACCACTCCGCACTTCTTGTAGATTTCCTACCATCGTATTCTCATACCACATCTATGTGTTCATTTATCCATCATGGGACTGGTGAGTGCCTGCTATGTCCCAGCACTGTTGTTGGCCCTGCAGATGAAGCAGAGATGCTCTTGCTCTTGCTGAAGAGTCTTTGCACAGGCACGTTCCTCCCTCATGGAATGTTCTCCCCTTGTGAATTGCTGCTGCTCAAAATCTTCTCCCTTGCCTTCTTGTTATACAGGATGGAAAACGAAAAGACCCTGTTTTCCAGCTATCCTTGTGGGTACAGGACATAGCACAGTTCTGGCCAATGAGATCAAAGCAGATGCCCATAGAAAGGGCTTCCTTTCCTGAATAAAATTCTCCACTAAGGGCTGTTTGCTTTTCTTTTGTTCTGTCTGGCACATGGCTATAAAGCCTAGGGTGCAGCAGCTGTTCTGCAACAGTGTGGAAGCAAGAATGAAGAGAAGGGCATCCAGGCAAAGGATGATCAATAGGGAAAAAAAATTAGTGTCAATAAGGGAAGGTTCTGGTTCTAAGGCCTCTGTGGAAGTCATGTAGGTTGTGTGTTGCACAACTCTAGGGGCACTGCTATCAGACTGATATTGTGAGGCTCCAATGCTGGTCTAGGCTCTGGTCTAGTCTCTGAAGGGAATGGAATGGAAGGAATGGCAGGATACTTTTAAATTCHGAGAATTGTGGCTTGTTCCAAATCACTCTAGTAGCTAGACTGTTTCTAGTCTTTTGAAATTCAGAGACTGAGAATTGACTCAATATTCTGCTATGTCAGCCTCTTCCTGAGGCCATGAATGATGATTCTTCTGCTTCAGAGGGAGAAGCCAGGATAAAAGAAAGTATGAGGATGGGGTTATAATTCATTGGTTAATATTTCAAATATTACCTTACAACAAGTGTACACATAGAGGTCTGTGGCCAGCAATAAAAATATTCTTAATAGTAGCCAAGTGTGGTGGTGCATGCCTGTAATCCCAGTGGCTCAAGAGGCTGAGGCAGGAGGGTTGTGAGTTCAAAGCTAGCTTCACCAAAAGCGAGGTGCTAAGCAACTCAGTGAGACCTTGTTTTCTAAATAAAATAAAAAATAGGGCTGGGGATGTGGCTCAGTGGTCGCGTGCCCCTGAGTTCAATCCCTGGAAACCTCCCCACCACACACATACCATTCTTAATAGTGAAGTAGCAGCTCTGCTCAAATTGCAATAGGGAGTGAAAAGTTGGAGAATCCTCCCAGGGAAGGTGCCAGTTGAACAAGGGTCATTTGTAAGTAATGTCAGAGAGACCTAGTGTGCATGACACATTGGGGGAAGTGATCAAGTGTGATAGGGAAGTGGCTGGGAGGGAGGCTGGGGATAGCGTAAGAAGGTTCAAGATTGTGCAGCTTTCAGAGAGCTTAGAAAGGGGTGGTGGAGTCCTGACCATCTTCTCACAGATGTTTCCATTTGGTGTCATGCGTCTGTGCAGCCCTTCACCCTGTTCATTAAGTCACTGCATGGGTTGTCCACTCTGGAGCAGGCTGGTAGCCTAAGCTGGCCCTGGGAGGTTGTGCCCTCCAAGAGTGGGGTTGCTCCTGGCTCATGGGCTCACTGGACCCCTAGAGCTTGGCCAAGGCCTTTAGTATACTGGGAACAGTCCTCTCTCAGGTCCTTCAGCATAAACCTAGGGAGATGGAGAAGTGCTGTCAGCACTCAGTAGCCTGCTACTTGGGCCAGCAAGGAGGGGGAAGACCACCTGACCAACATGGAATAAGGAGATATTCCTGGACCCTTTTGACCCTCGGTTTGGGAAAGGAAATAAAGTTCATGATCATCTTTGGATTCTACTCTGACCTTGCCTCACCAACCCCTACTTTCTAGGGTACAGAATTTCACCCAATCTACTCCAGTCACCTATGATCCCGTGAAGCTCACACTGGCTCCTGCTCAGTTCCCAGCATCCATTGACCTGTTCTCATTTTCTATTGTTGCTATAACAAAAGGCTATAAATTCTGCAGCTTAAGACAACATGTGCTTATTGTTCACAGTTTTGTAGGTCAGACATCCAGTATGACCTCATTGGGTAGAAATCAAGATGTCTGCAGGCTACATTCTTCTCTGGAGGTGACAGGGGAGAATCTATTTCTTGGATCATTCAACTTCTTGGTAGAATTTATTTTCTTGCATTTGTAGAACTGAGGTTCCTGTTTCTTTGTTGGATATCATCTGAGAGCAATTCTCAATCTCTAGATTGCCACCATTCCTTGGTTTGTGGCCTTTGTCTTCCCTCTTAAAAGCCAGCAATGGTGGGTTGAGTCGCCTCCGCTTTAAATCTTCCCTGCCATCTCTGAGTTCAGTGGGAAAAGGTTCTCATCTCTTAAGGGCTTAAGTGATTGGATCCGGCCACTTGGATAATCCCAGAAACTCTTCCTGTCTGAAGGCTGGTAACCTTAACCACACCTGCAAATTCCCTTTGCCTTGTAGTATAACATATTCACAGGCTCTGGGGGTTGGAGTGTAGACATCTTTGGGGGACATCATAGTTGTGGCCTGGGAGCTTTACCTGTGTACCCTTTTCCTTCTCCTTCCACAAAGTTAGATCTTCTAACATCAGGGTGGAGGAGAAACCTAGGGTTCAAGAGAAAAGCTCAGGTCTCTTCCTTGTTTACAGATTAAGGTTTCCCTTTCTTAAACTTAACCACATAACTTCTCCAAGGGGAGGCTGATCTGTGAACTGAAACCCCTCTGGGGATATTTGAACATAGGAAAGGGTGAGGAATTGGGTCTGTACCTGCTATCGCGCTCCCCCTTCTTCCTCATACTTCTGCAGACCTCAGCTTTTATCCAAAGCCTTCTCCATTAACCAGCAACAGGAAATAAGCATTGATGTGCAGAGTATTCCAAAGACAGGACTTCCAGTGGACTACGGACTCTCTTCCTTGGTCAGGGAGCCCAGGCTCTAAGAAAGTATTCACATTTGTTTATTAATATTTTTAATATGCTTAAAAATATAATTTGGGGAGCTGGGGTTGTGGCTCAGTGGTAGAGTGCTTGCTTAGCATGTGTGAGGCACTGGGTTCGATTCTCAGCACCGCATATAAATAAATGAATAAAGTTTCATAACATCTTAAAAAATCATATATATATATATATATATATATATATATATATATAATTTTGGGGTCTGTTTGGAAATATTAAATAATTCTACCAGGGGCTGGCTGAGAGCTAGGGACCCTGAAGGGACCGCTCCCTGGTCTCTTTCTGTATGTACCTTTCCATTCACTTCCTACTCTTCGGAAGAATTTATTAGTTTTCATAACCACATGGCAAAGCTGCAGGATGTATGGACATTATTCAGGACTAAATCCCTGGCCACAGACACCATCTGCCCCCAGAAGAACTGGTGTTTGTCCCACAGTGCTGACGCTTACTTACTCTACCCCAGGTCCTTGGAGGGCTGGGGCAGTGCTAGCTCCTGGGTTGGCTTCCTTCCCTGGCGTTTGGGCTCTCCCTATTGGGGCTGTGACCTGTGCTCTCAGACCTCAGTGGTGTGAACACACTTGGTGATCAAGAGGAAGGAGAAGTGTCAAGGCTGTACCTAAGAGGTGCAGGGCTAAGGGAATAAGAACCTCAAGTTAACCCAGTCACCAAATCATCTTCCCCACGAGGGGAGATCCAGTGATGAGGGACCAATCAGTCTCTGAGTTGTTTATTTGGGGACTGTCACTTTCACCTCCTGGTATCACTGCCTTTTCTACCTTTGACCTTTCTCAGATCCACCATTGTCCTTTCTCATTTGTCTTCTTGCCATCCTCTTTCTAGCTTCACTAAAGTAACATCACTAACAGTCCATTATTAAAAAAAAAAATCACTGGATGTATTTTACCATAAAGGAAAAAAATGCACTGTATTGGTGATCTTGAAGTGTTGGTGTGCTTGGAAGTTGCTTATTAGAAACTTAGTGGTGGCCTGAGTCCCACCCTTGGAAGGTTTTTATCTGGGTCTGGGGTGGGATCTGAACTTCTGCATTTTTAACAAACTATATTTTAAATTACTACCCAGGTGACAGATGGTGGCTCACTGTCCATGACCTGAACGATCTATCTTGCTGCAGCCTGACCTCCATTTCTTAGGGTGAGTATTTTTAAACTCTTTGTTAAACTCTTTATTTTGGACTTTTTCCTTTATAGGTCAGAAACACCTTTGACTTGAACCAAATCCCCACCTCCCCCCCCCCCATATTTGGTATAGATCTTAGTATAGCAGTAAGTTTTAAAGGACACTTACTTACCATTTGGGTTATTTTCATTTAAAACTAGCCTTCCAACTCTGAATTGGAATAGCTACTATTATAAAGAAATTTGTTGTGAAAGGATCAATCTATTTTTTACTTGTTTCCACCAAGGTAAAAACCAGTATTCTGTTGTCATCTCAGAGGATGATGGTCAATTTATATTCGTTCATTCAACATTGATTAAACAAGAACATAAAAATGAATAATGAACAGATGTCTTGACAAAGCCTACAGGTCCTGTGGGCACTGCCCCTGACCTGTGCTCCCAGCCTCATTTTGCAACCACAGGAACGCCTCTGCCCTACACCAGCCGCACTTGACCTCTTCCAGGCCCTTGAACTTTCTAGGCTTCCACTCATCAAGGGACTTTGCCCAGGCAATTCCCCAGGCCTGTAATACTTTCCCCTCCTCTTTCTAGTGAATTCCTTCTTATTCTTCATCCCTCAGCTCAGAGGACACTGTCTCCTCTAGGCCCACAGGTAGGTTGGGTTCCCATGTTCTCAGAGAATGAATAGATTACATGAGGGCACGTGGATCTTTGAATCCTTAGGTTATTCCCAGTCTACTAGGAGAACAGATTTTTGAAGTGGTCATTGAACATGTAGAATTTGCTGGATGAACAGAAACTCTTAAAGTTTCATTTGGGTCACTTGTAGAATTGGGTGAAAGAAGACCTTACAAAGAAAGAGATTCTTGAAATAGATTGTGGAAGACAATCAGGTATTTTCCAGGGCGATGAGAGGGCATTGCTGCTAGAAAAATTTATGGACATTGACTAAGGGGGTGGAGTGTGGTGATGCTGTGGGTGGCCTTGAAGAGTATAAATAGTATGCTACACCTGGAGAGAGAGGTTCGAAAGGACTCTACCAAATGCCATTTCATATTTCACCCTATAGTGGGTTATATTCCCCGCCCCTGGCCAAAAGAAGATGACCAAGTGATAACTCATAGTACCTGTGAACATGACCTGGTTTGAAAAAGTTTTTGCAGGGGCTGGGGATGTGGCTCAAGCGGTAGCGCGCTCGCCTGGCATGCGTGCGGCCCGGGTTCGATCCTCCAGCACCACATACCAACAAAGATGATGTGTCCGCCAATAACTAATAAATAAATATTTAAAAAAAAAAGAAAAAAAAAAAAAAAAAAAGAAAAAGTTTTTGCAGACATAATTAAGTTTCTTAAAATGAGAGCATTCTGAACTAATCTTGGTAGGCCTTAATCCCATGACAAACGTCCTCATAAGAAGTGGAGAAGACACACAGAAAGGAGAAGAAACACAGGGAAAACAATTCATATGAGGATGGAGGCAGAGATTGGAGTGATATAACCACAAGCCAAGGACGGTGAACAGCTACCGGGAGCCTGGAAGAGATGCATAGGTGGGTCTCCTGCATAGCCTCCAGAAGGAACCTGCTCTTCTGACATCTCGAGCTGTGGAATTCTGACCTCTGGAACTATGAGAAAATCAATCTTGGTTGTTTTAAGCCACCTGGTTTGTGATAAATTATTTTGGTACCCACAGATGCTCAGCACAGCTCTGTAACTGGCAAACCTCAGGATTGGATTCTAGAAAGGGGCTCCAATGAGCATTTGATTCCAGGTCTCCCCCTTCAGCTGCTTTAACAGAGGAAACCACGGCTACAACAGACCAAGAGGGCTGCTTGGAAACAGGCAACCGATTGACTGCCCAAGGTGGGTGACATTTTCAGGATTAAGAAATGGCAGTGTCTTTGGCTGGCAAGAATTTTCTAAAATCCCTTTGTTAGTAGCTCCTCATACTGTCAGACTGGGTGAGGCCCCGGGGAATTTGGCATCGTTGCTTGCCTGGATACAGAGGCTTGCAAGTATCTTTAAAAGACAAGTGTTCACCTGGGTGACTTCCAAGATCTTTTCAGCAGGGAAAAAACATCGGGGTGTCACTGGTGATGTTTTATGACAGGAGGTACAGCAGAATTTCTCCTGCTCATCAACCTTCTTGGCTAAAGCTTATTTGGGGAGACTCTGATGACTCACCTTCTTTTCTTTTAAACTTCTTGAAAATACACAATTTCCTTAATTTTTTTTTAAAAATCAACATAGTTAACAGCATACTATTTATGTTATTCAAGGCCACCTGACAACATCACCCTAGTCCATCCCCTTGGTCAATTCTCTCTTTCTCTCTCAGGGGTTTGTAGTACACAGAATAATAGCTCCCCGGAGATGTTCATGTCCTAAACTTTGGGACCTGTGAATGTGTGTGGCAATATTGTAGAGGGTCATTCATGTTGTAGATGGAATTAAGATTGCTAATTAACTAACCTTAAGATGGGGGAATGATCCTGGATTCTCTAGGTGAGCCCAAGGTCATCACAAGGGTCTTCATAAGAGAAASAGGGAGGTGATGTGAGAAAGGCTTCTCAATGGGAGAGAGGCACAAGCCATGAGAGCCTCTGGTGGGGACAGCAGCCCTGCCAGCACTTGATGTGGACCCTGTGACTTCTGACCTCAGAACTGTGAGGTAGTAAATTCGTGTTGTTTTAAGCCTCTAAGTGTGTAATAATTTTTTACAGCAGCCATGACAAGCCAATATACGTGGAAGGGGGGACTGGAGAGGGGAGAACTGGTAGGGATTTTCTTTGGCTTTCCAAGTAAGGCTAACCTAAAGGGGGCTGTGGATGACTCAGAGCCACCAATGGTGGCTGAAGGAGAAGGTAATATGGTGGTAATAATCTTATAGCACAATTTTAATGCCAAAAATCCCTGAGAGGACACCCTCCTTCCTATCTCTGGAGTGGGGCATCTCAGACTTTTTGATTGCAGCAGCGTCTGGGGGTTCCTGACATGGTGGTGGAGTGCCAGGGTACCTGGGATTCCTTTCTCTCTGCAGGGAGAGCCAGCTGTGGTGGCAGGAGTGGCTGTGCCTGCCACACTGATGTAATGAAGCCTTCGCCTTGGATATTGTCTGGCAAAGGACCCTTAGGGCTTCGTGGTGTCTGCCTCCTCCTCTTCTGGTTCTTCCAGGCCTAATGAAACATCCTGGGGCACCTGTCATGATGGGGCCCTGTGTTCCCCTCTCCTCCCCCTGGAAGATTCAGAGAAGTGGCTGAATCTGTAGATATTCCAAGCATTTCCTTGTGCGTCACTTTTCCCAACGGCTTCCGTCTACATGTTCTCAAATGTCTCTTGGAGCACTGGCTCCCAGCCTCTTGGCTTGGAATTCATGTGACCAATGCTACTAAGTCAAAACTTGTCAGCAATGGCTTTGCCTGCCTGGCCTCAGAGGATCAGCAGCAATGCAGGGGAGGGAGGGCTTATGGAGCCTGGAGAAGGCCTGCAGAGTCTGGAGGACTGGGGGTCAGGGCAGCTGGACTTGTGCCAGCATCTCTCCAATGCATTAGGAAAGCCAGGGCTCCCTGTGGTCTGTTCTGGAAGCTTCCAGTGATCTGGATAACTCTGTGGGACCCAAGTCCCTTTTGCCACTCACTAGCTCCGTGATCTTGGATGAGTTGCTTAGCTTCTCTGAGCTTCAGTTTCCCCTTGTATGAAATAATAAAAGAGTAAGAAAGCAATAATCATTAGTTATAATTATAACTATTTCTATCATTGCCAATCAGATCCTTCATCTTCAAAGGTCATAAATCTCAAAGTATTCTCCAGTGACATTCCCCAAACATTTCAGGCCCTCCTTTCCTAGTTCTTCTGGTCAGTATGTCTGTATGTCGTATTGATGTGTAATTGATAAACAATAACCTATGTATGATAGAGCAAGTTTGAAATGTTTTGACATGTGTACATACTCAGAAAATCATCACTATAATCAAGATAACGAAACTATCTATAATGCCCCTAAATTCCCCTTTGTAATTCTTCCTTTCCTTTCCTAACTTACCTGAATTCCCGGATCTTAGACAATCACTGATTTATTTTCTGCCATTGTAAGTTGTGTTTTGTAGTATTTCATGTCAATATGGTACATTTATTTTGTTTCTGTTTTGGGTCTGGCTTATTTCACTTAGTCTAGTTGAGATTATTCCTCACTGATATATGTATCAATCAATAATCAATGGTATTAGTGGTTCATTCCTTTTTATTGTTGGGGACTATTCCATTGCAAATATATGCCATAAYTTTTTTACTCAAATACCTGTTTGGGCTGCTTCTGGTTTTTGGCTAGTTTGAATAAAGCTACTCTGAACATTTACATTTTGATTATGAACATAAGCTTTCATTTCTTTTGGATAAACACATAGGAATGAAAACCAGATTAGTAGTAGGTACAAGTTTAAGGTTTTTAAGAAACTGCCAGGCTGTTTTCCAAAGTAGATTCATGATTTACATTCCTACCAGCACTATATGAGATTTAAAATTACTTCTCTCCTTTGCTAAAGCTTGGTATGATCAGTCTGTTTAATTATAGACATTCCAATGAGATGTAGTTGTTTAAATTTGCATTTCCTGATTATTAATGGTGTTGAGCATGTTTTCTTGCACTATCCATATATCTTCTTTGGTGAAGCATCTCCTCAAATTATTTTGCCTATTTAAAAAATAGAGTTGTATTTTTTCTTATTACTTCTTATTATAAATTGTGGATATGTCTTTATGAGATGTTTTTTGGAAATATTATCTCTCCCATTCGGTAGGTTCTCATGTCACATTCTTAATTGTTTTCTTTGCTGTGTAGAAACTTTTAAAATTTGATGCCATCTCATTATTTATTTATTTATTTATTTATTTATTTTGGTGCCGGGGACTGAACTCAGGGTTACTCGACCATTGAACCACATCCCAAGCCCTATTTTGTATTCTATTTATAGACAGGTCTTACTGAGTTGCCTAGCACCTCACTGTTGCTGATGCT